CCTTAACTCTATTCCCCCTTTCCCCACACTTCTCGAACAAAAGCTAATTCCCCTTTTCCACAAGACATAAAAAAAAAAAAAAATCTTCGACATCCCACGAAACTCGTCGTCGCCACCGTCAAAACTAGCCACAGAGACATTAACCTTTTCGCCAGCGATCATTTCGTCATCCGTCACCGTCTTAAGCTCAATCTTAGACTGCAGTGAGGGGAAATCGAAGGTCGTTCCTACTCTTGTTTGTGACTTTCGTTCTATCATCTCTTTCGTGCTTTCAAAGAGGTTTCCGATTTATGTTCCTTACTTCTCCGCTCCGGTGATGAATGATTTGAGTTTTTGGTGATGATTTTTGGAAATTTGGCAGAGAGATTTGGGTGTTACTTGGGATGTCGATTTGTACGGCGAGCTTCTGAAAATCGGTGGTGGAAAAGAAAGGTATAGACTTTATAAGCTAAAACCAAAACTGGAGTTGATGAAAGTTATCAATTTAGTCTTGTTTGAAATGAAATTGAAGTGAATCTTTCGATAGTGGAACTGAAATTGTTTTTGATTTGAGATGGTTTGTTATTGCAGGATGACTACTTATTTTAACAAGGTAGGTTGGCCAGAGAAAGCTCCAAAGGATGAAGAAGAGAGGAAAGTGTTCATAGTCGGGCTTCACAAGTAGAAGACTGAGCTATTCATGGTTCTCATTGAGAAAAAACTGCTTCCCCTTCGCCCCGGTGTTGCCAAGTAGGGTCACTATCTATATTCTTGAGCATGTCACTTGATTTTGATGCAGCGTCTTTGTTGAATATCCCTCTTGATATTGATTTTGTTAAAAGTTTTAGTGTGGAACTTTTTAGATAATTTAGAATATATTTGATGGATTCTCCTGATGCTATGAATGGTTTTTAAGGCTAGTTATTTCTAGTAATCATATTCATGTCCTGCTTTTTGTTAGATATTTTATTGAGATATTAGTTGCGTGTGATCTAGTAGGTTCAGGTTAATTGATCAAGCTCTAACGAATGGAGTAAAAGTCGCTGTGTGCAGCACTTCAAATGAGAAGGCGGTATGTCAATAAGGTTCTACTACTTCAGTTTCTTAAAGATATACGCAGCTGCATTCTTACCAAGAATGTTCTCAACTACGCGAAATATTTTGAGTTGCAAGAAATATACGTAATCTTATGGAAAGCAGGGAAATATGAATAAATGTTTTTCTCATTCTTGCCTGATCTCAGGTTTCTGCTATAGTCTCATGCTTGCTTGGACCAGAACAAGCAGAGAAGATCAAGATACTCGCAGGAGATGTAGTCCCTAAAAAGAAACCTGACCCGGTAATTTATTCAACTTCCATTCTATCACAACAAGTTTACCATGTCTGCATGGTAAAAATAGGATTTATTTGCATAG